CTTGCAGGGCTTTGAGCTCAAGTCCAAGAGTGACAAGCGAAAGGTTTCACTGGAGTCAGCGCCGCTGCAAAGGGGCTGAGAGGGACCGCTGAAGTGAACTTAGTGCTGTTGAGGATGGGTAAATTAAATTGCAGGTTAAATGCAAGTTGTTCTCGATTAAAATTATTTCTTTCCTCTAATTAATTTTAAAAGTCAAACTGTATAAAAAAACCTACAAGCAAAGGAACTGGAGTGATAGAGTGTAATGATGACATATTTTGGCCTCATACACCCCTTTATAATGGAGTTAAAGCACATACTCCTGTGTAAACATATCATCTGTTATCTGTTTTAGCTTCATTGTCATATGCTTGCAAAAAATGATCCGTGTAGGGTTTGGGTTTTCTGATGCCTGCCATGTCAAGTCGTGGTCACGGGTAGGAAGATGTGAGCATGCTTCCCAGGCGGAGGGCATCAGTTTCCTTGGTGTCTGGCAGAAAGAAAAGAGGATTTGAAAGGAGCTGAGACTTGCTCCTTCAAAAGATGTTGCCGCTGGAGGAGAAGATGTTTATTGTGGTTCTGTTGCTCAGCACTGACTTACAGAAATGGGTTACCTCGGGCGTGCTTTTGGCTGCGGGGAGTTCGGCCAGATTGGGTTTGCCCAGCAGGACGTGTTCTGAAGATTACCAGTATGTTTACGTATCTGCTGATACTTTAAATAAGACAAGCCAAACCACCTGTGAGCAAAGTTTCCATTTATCTCGGCTTTCATCTTTGTTTTGTATTATATCAGTTAATATATAGATTACATTGGCATTGAAGTTCACTCCTTAATCTAATCATTTGTTATTTTAAGTTGGTCTTTCAATTGGTGTATGTTATTTTGGATAATAAATTTTGTTGGTAAGCATCATTTTTCTGACTCTAGGAAATACAGAGCTGACTGAGCTGACTTACCCGTAGTGGCAAAGATGTTTAAAAGTGGGTTTTGTTTGATTTTGTGGGTTGGGTTTTTTTTTCAGTTGGATCAAGAGAGTTCAGTGTGGCAGCACAAGAAGTCCATATTTGTTGGATTCCACCGATGGTATCCTCATGGAATCCTGCTTTTTCCAAGTCCTTGCTCCCTGCCTCATGTATATGTGCATATATATATGCATGGATGGATGTATAGATACACAAAGAGGTGCACACACCTATTCCCATATGTTGAAATCTATCTGCTGATTTTGGTCTGTCTGCTAGTCCACAAGAAGAATCTACAAAAATCCCAGGGCTGGGATTGGAACAAAAATAACTGCAACTGAAAGGATTTTCCAGAAAAATTTGAGTGAAGTATAAAAAAATAAGAGGCAAGTTATGTTCTACAATGCATATTTGCACAGCTCCAGGTGAAATTCATGTGAAGTCATCACTCTTTTCCAAAGCTATCACAACCCCTAGAGCCTCAGGAGCTGTATGAGAAATAACAAGTACTTCTGAATTCTCTTGCACTGAAAATCTTGTTTTACCTATCTCATTCACAACGTTTTTTGTGAAAGATGAACTGACTTACTCTGACAAACCTCTGTATCCCAAGCAGGATGAACTTAGATGATGTACGATCTGTGGTGGTGAAGTTGGTTCCACAGACTTCGTGAGTGTCGATGCTGGAGGTGAGTTCAGCGAGAGCAGTGCAGAGGGGCCTGGAGCGGTATGCTTTGACACCATTCATCCAGGAGATGGGAAGCGAATCAAAGGTGGAAAGGCAAAGACCCATTACGGAGAGGAGGCTTTGCCAGCTGAAGATGGGGAGTTGGTGGAGCAGGCGGGACTTGTAGGCCCAACTGAAGCAGGCGTTGAGGCTAAGCTGCTTAGGGCCAGTCATCCACGCTGAGGGATGTTATGCTTCTACAGACTACAAATGTTTTTAGGACTTTTTTCAGCTGGCAGGCAAAAACTGTCTGTTGGATTGCCAGCCTATTTCCACTGTAGGAAGCTATTTTATAGCACAGGTGAGGTCATGCCCTTTCCCACTTTTTTGAGGGAAGTAGATACCCCAGAAGGTGTTGGTAAGTAGACCTTGCTTTCTCACCTCCACTGAGGCTGCTCATAGAGAGGAAGCTATAATCTGACCCTCAACTTTAATCTTCCCTTTAGTTTTGAAAAATGCAAGAGGCCTATTTTTATTTTAAAAGGAGTAAAGACCTGTTTTGGAGGCTGGAGGCCAGTCCCTGCTGGAAAGCACATTTAGTGTCAATTATGGTACAGATGTGCAGGTCCTTATTAAAAGTATGCAAGAATTAACTATTTTGATATTTTTTTTTTATTGTTACTTTCTAGTTATGTGTAATCTGTAATTCTGGTTTTTGGTAAGATTTTTGTTGTTATGGGTTTTTTTTACAAAAACTTAATGTCGACAGCTCTGGAACCTTTTCAGAGCTTCGCTGTTTTCTCTGCTTGTAGGATTAACAGCAGATTAACTATGATTAGAACTTTTGTTGTTCACAGATGGTGTTGGGTCATTTTCAGATCATCCATTCTCAGGATCAGGTAATGATTAGGTGCTTTAGATTAAGGGATTGCGTTTACACTCTGTATCAAGTACCACTCTGAAAGTGCTTAGTGCAGTGCATGTTCAAAAGGAAATATAGCTGCACTCCCTGGTCAGAGTGCTCTCAGCCAGGACTTTGCACCATTCTCTTCCGCATAAAACCAGAAAATAATCTAGAGTCCAAACTGGGGTGAAAAATGGCTCCTCAAAGGCAGATTGCTTTGCTTTGTACCTTGTTTTGTAGTATAGCATTCATCACTTGCGGAGCAGAAGGTGAGATGCAAAATTTATTATTGCTGTTGGGGAAGGAACTGCACTAACAAGTTGCAGTGTAGTGATTTTCAAATCATCTTATACTTGTGTTAGCAATCTGCAAAAGTATCCTGATAAGCTTTATGCAAAAATTACTGGGTTTGTGAGATGAAACCATTTCTGAGATGATTTTCTGAAAATAAAACTTTATAAATTTCTTAAAAGGTGGAAAGCAAAAACATTTCGTAATTATCTAAACAAAATATTTTAAGATCTTGTTGGATGATAAATTTAGAAAATGTTAGTGATTTTGACAGTTGCTGTTTGCTCTGAAATTTGTTTTTAAGCTTTATGCTCTTGCAGAGTGAGTAAACTATGTCTTACCTAGCTCCAGCTGTCACTGGCAGAGCCAGCTGTGGGAGTATTTGGCAGGGGGTGTCTGTCATTGCACAAAAGCAAAGTGAAAACTGAACAAAATTGAAAGGAACAAGCTGAAATCTTCTAAATTAAACACTCAGTAAAAAATGCTTCATTTCAAAGTCTATGAGACAATTATGAAGATGCAATTTAATTTTTTTCTTTTACCTTTTGTGTTACTTAGGACAGACTGGTGCTGAGCCAGAAGTGACTATCACACTTGGACGGCTCAAAGGGAGACAAACAAATGTGAAGGGCACAGACAGACTTGTAAATGTTTTCCTTGGGATTCCTTTTGCAAAGGCACCTGTTGGATCCTTGAGGTTTTCCCCACCTGAACCACCAGAACCCTGGAATGATCTGAGAGATGCAACTTCTTACCCACCACTGTGAGAGCTGTTCAGTTCATTTGTTTGTAGGACCTGCATGTGTTTGTCGGTGCCATCGTGTTTATTAGGGTACAGAAGTCTGATTTTTGCTAGGGAGCTTATATTGACTGGAATTGAATATGCTGCCAGTACTGAAATACTGTAGGGAGTGTAGTGACAGGACAAGGGGTAATGGGTTTAAGCTGAAGGAGGGTCGATTTAGATGAGATGTTAGAAAGAAATTCTTTCCTGTTAGAGTGGTGAGGCACTGGAACAGGTTGCCCAGAGAGGTTGTGGAGGCCCCATCCCTGGAAGTGTTTAAGGCCAGGTTGGATGAGGCTTTGGGCAAAGTGGTCTAGTGGAGGGTGTCCCTGCCTGTGGCAGGGGGGTTGGAACTAGATGATCTTTGAGGCCCCTTCCAACCCAAACCATTCTATGATTCTATGATTCTGTAAGAACTGTGGGACTAAGAACCGCAAAGAATTCCTGGAAAATTTCTGTCTTTGGAAATCACATCTCATTATGCTCTGCTGCAATAATTCAGCTTTTTAAGGATAAGTACAGAGCTGTGCTTTTACAGGTTGCACCTCTTAATTGCATATAAGTAACACAAAGTTTGAGCATCCTGTGGGAATTCAGTCTGTGGGGCAAAAGAAAATGTGTTTTCTTTATCATTGTTACATTATTGCTATTGCAGTTTTATTACTAATAGTCACTTCCTTTCTTTTGTGAAGATGTCCTCAAGATCTGTCCATGTTGAAAACAGCTGAAAAAAACTTTAAAGAAAAACACGTTCCATTCCGAACTTCTGAGGACTGTTTGTATCTAAATGTTTACAGCCCTGCTGGTTCAAACAAGAAGGACAAGTTACCTGTGCGTAAACCCATTGTACAAACTTGTGTCGTACAACATTTGCACCTAGTGATAGCTCCTACGTCACTTAATTGTTTTTGAAAATGTGATGGTGCGTTAGCAAAAGTATTATTATGTAAAATTCAAAGTCCACAAACCTAAAATTCAGTTCCCATTGAGCTTTGGTGATTGAGAGTTCCTAATTCTCTGATGTTGTCTTCCTTTTTCAAATGAAATTTACCAAGCAATGCATAAAAGTGTGTCTCACCCTTTTTTCTCAAAGGTAATGGTGTGGATCCATGGAGGCAATTTCATATTTGGTGGTGCTTCTAGGTATGATGGTTCTGCACTATCAGCCTACGAGAATATTGTGGTAGTAATAATTCAGTACAGACTTGGACTCCTTGGATTCCTCAAGTAAGATGACCTATTTCACTTTTTACAAAATGCTTCTTATGTTTAAAGGATGGGTAGTTTTGTTTTCCAAATCAGCTGAACTTCTATACTGGCTTCCCACTGTTACGGTGGTTTAAATGTACATAGTTCACTGACATCAGGACTTAAGAACATTAATAAATGTCCATAAATACTATTTGCATTGTCATTTGATTGTAGCCAGCTATCAAATCATAGTTGGGCTTATTTGGTTCTGGATACGATGTTTGTTCTTGCCTTTACTTCCATCCATTGATCTGTAAAGCAAAAAATCATACAGTGTAAAGGCCAGGAATCCATCTGTGTAACAGCAGAGGCAAGTAAGTCAGTGGGGCTTAGATCTGACTATGCAAGGCTTTAGGTCAGTAGGCTGTACAGATCTTTCCTTGGCCAAATGTGACACTTTGCACAAAATGTAAGTTGGTGAGGTTTATTTTATTCTGATATTAGAAGAACTATTACTCTTCCTGAGAAGGCTTATACTGCTTTTCTTTCAGTACTGGTGATGAACATGCTCGTGGGAACTGGGCATTTTTGGATCAAGTAGCAGCTCTTCGGTGGATCCAAGAAAATATTGAACACTTTGGTGGAGATCCAGGATCTGTCACACTCTTTGGTGTATCTGCAGGATCTTGCTCTGTTTTTGCACATGTAGGCATGCAGTAGATATACTAAAAAGAAAAGTCTTAAAAAAAAATCTTCAAAAACTCAATTAGTGTAACATTTCATGCTTAATCTGGTTTTTCAAAGTAAGATTAATGGCACATTGTGCTAAGTCTGGACACTTCCCTTGTAAGCACATAAAAATGTGTAATTCCACACTGAATCCAGCAGTCTAGTCAAGCATAAAGTTATGGGATAAGGACCTTAATGTAGAATAAATACTTTCTGTTCTTCCTTTCTTGGCAGGTTTTATCTCCTTTGTCTAAGGGTCTCTTTCATAAAGCAATATCAGAGAGTGGAATTTTAATCCCCCCTGTTAAAGATTTACTTCTTTCAACAGATCTTAAGGTAGGCAGTTTTTGGTTTCTTTTTCATTTTAAAGCCTTTATAACCTAAAAAAAGATATTTCTTATATCTGATAGTTTTCTTAAAAGAGAAAGGGTCAAAATCTGATTGCACATTATGCAACAAAGTTGATGAAATTTATTCTCACAGCATACCTATAAATACATAGATTAGCACTAAGTAAATTTTCATTCAAATAGTCTATTTATTTTCAGTCTTACCATGCTCATTTGGTGTTGGAAATAGATTGTACAGTTACATGATTATAATATCTGTGGGTTGAGTTAGGTATTTTCAGTTACATGCATGCTAAGCTAGGCAAATGTACATTTTAATGCACACTGTAACTTATACTGTAACTATGAAATTTATTATGGAAAGTTTAATTAGAATCCAGAAGAGGCATTCAGTTTTTATTCAGCTATGGTGTCATGATTTAACCCAGCCAGCAGCTCATTCCCTGCCCTCCAAGTGGGATGGGGGAAAGAACAGAAAAGGCATATTAAAAAAAAAAAAAAAAAGAAAAATTCATGGATGTTACCAACATTAGTCTCATCCTAAATTCAAAACACAGCACTCTACCAGCTGCTAGGAAGAAAATGAATTCTGTCCCTGCCAAAACCAGAACATACGGTCTTTTATAGAGGGCCTTTATTTGAAGTAAATTCATTTTAAAAAAGAAAAAAACCCTTTAAAATTAAATTCCTGTCTATAAGTAACTTTTCATTTCTCCTCCTGAAACAGCAGGTAGTAATAATATAAATCTCTCATAAGTTGATTTTCTGAATTTTCTTGCCTTATTTGATTTCTGTTGCAACCTCATATTATCTCTACAGCAAAGTTTGTTGTAGAACAGTGAATGGAAATACAGCAAGAAAGAGAAATGTACCAGAATGATTTCACTTCATGATCAAACTGTAGTATTTCTAGTAAAATGAAATACTCAAAAACTTATCAAGCTCACCTAAATTAGCCCTTAAATAAAACTATTAACAGTACTATGTATAATAATTTTCTGTTTATAAATTCCTTAAAGACTACCTCATAGCGAACAGTTCTTGTCTTTGTTAATAATTTTCAGAAAATTGCAAGTATATTTAAGTGTGAGACGAGCAGTTCACTCTCTCTGATAAACTGCTTGAGGAACCAGGAAGCAGAGGATATAGTCTTTAACAGTACGGTAGGTGAAACTTTACTTAGTAACAGATTTTTTTAATGGCATGCTTGCAAAACTTTAGCTCAGCGTCTGACTAGAGTTCATTGTTAGCCTGCTGCAAAGTTTTTTTCCTAATTTTTGTCAAAATACCCCCTAAATACTGAAATAATTTCACATAAGTTCTCTTTAGAATTTTCAGTGAAGTGTCACAGCACCTGTAAAGTTGTGAGCAACACTTGAGCATACATATGTTTTAATGTCAGTCAGAAGCAGCACAGGATCAGGAAACCATTATATTACTCCGTATCATGACCCAACCAGTCTAGTATTTTATACTCTGGTGCAAAAATGTGAATGTATGTTACAGGGGCTGTAGATACTCAGATTTCTTAAAGCCTTTTTTTTTTTTTTTGCACTTGGAACATCAAATGTGGACATTTTATTATGTGATTTGAAGGAAAAAAGGAAAATGCTATTAACAAGTAATTTGATCTTTTTTTCTCTTCCTTCAGGAAATCCCATTTCTACCCTTAGTTTTGGATGGAGTATTTCTTCATAAGTCACCTGAAGAGATCCTGGCTGGAAAAGAATTTAATGCAGTCCCATTTATGATAGGAGTCACCAACAATGAATTTGGCTGGAATATTAGATCTGTAATTTAATGGCTATTCTTCATTTTTTCGAATGTTTGTGTTAGTGATGAAGGCAACTCTGAGCAGTTATTTGCTGGTAGGACACCTTTTAAGTATGGCCGAAAGGCTTTGCATTGTTGGAAATATATACAAGGTAAACTTTGCTTGCATGATGATTCAGTAGTGATCCAGAAGCAGTTGGCCTCAAAGCAGTGAGACAGGCTTCATCCTGCAAGTTAAACTATGTGGACATCCTTGGAACATCAATTTTTTACAGTATTTTCTTATCCTAAAATTTTAATCCCTCATCCAGTCAGAGAGGAAAAAGAATGCAACAGCCAAGGGCTTATTACTAAAAGAAAAATAAACCAAATCCTTTCCCCCACAACACACAGATGTTACATGCACGATATTCAGGATGGACACATAGAATGTTTAAAAATGTGGCATTGATCTCCTTAAACAGCTTACCCCGTATGTCATTATGAACCGGCTGCTGGTTATATCATTGCCATGATATCATTGTTACCATGCAGAAAGATCTGTCATTTGAAAATCTCGGCTGGAGGCAGAGTATGGGGATAATGTGGGTGTCCCACCCATTCGCGGCGCATAAATTCTTTTTCATATGAATTCCATGGGCAATTCTAAAAGGTGAGCAGTTGCTGTACAGTGCACAAAACTGCAGCAGGTGGATTTGTGTTCTCTCTCTTCCTTGTCCTCTTTTCTTCATTTCCTAAGACCTTGTGTTCATCTAGGTAGTACAAAGTATTTGTTCTGAATCTATGTAGTAACTGTGTGTCTCTGGGAGTGTGCTGGTACTAAGTCCAAGAAAAATGTGAAGTGGAATCTGTTCTAATTCATTTTGCAGACAGAAAAGTCATTTTATGTAATGCTCTAAAAGAGGAGGAGAATTGCCTTATCGTTACTTCAAAGGGTTCAAACAACTGGACTAGAGACAGAGAGGCTGCTGGTGACTTTTAAGATCCCCCCTACCAGAGGGAAAATAAGCCTTTGAGACAGAAGATTTTCACTTCAATTCTGCCCTAATGCTTTCTAGTCTTATAAGTTTCTTAACAATGTGTGTTGATTTAAGGATAAACTACTTAGTATGAGTGGTTTGTGTTGCAGCCTTCACCGAGGAAACATTTACTGCTGTAAATACAAGCTGTTCAAGACAGCTGCTGCATCATACTGCATTTTTACATATGATATAAGGCTTCAAAAACACCAGTAGTAAGAATAAAGTGAAATAATGTAGTTCTAATGTTAAAAATATTGGAGAGTGGTGCTAATAACATTTTTTTTTCTGTGCAGACATCAAAAATACCAGGTTTGAAGGAAATAGGAGATAAAAAATCAATCACTTCAACTTTAGAATTTTTACTGCCGATGATGGTAAGAACTGTTGCACTAATCTAATTTGGGAAGTGAAATTTCTTTTTAATGCATAGAACAGGTTTGTGAAGTTTGGTGTTCTCTAATTTCCTGCTTGAGTCATAGTGTTACTAAGACTTGAGGTCCTGTTATGCTTTGGGGAGAGTCCCAGCTAAGTTGACAGGACTACGGTGTATGGAGTGACACAGAAATAGGATTGAGTCAGGCCTGGGGTTTGGGGAAATACCTTTTTCCTTCTAGAGTGCTGAACCAACCAATTTTAATCTTACACATTTGTATGTAGGATTGCTGTAATCATGTCCCTAATCTTATGGCATCTGATGGCTAATCTCCTGGTCGATGGGTTTCAAGACAGGATTTTTCAATGTGTTTGCATTAAAGTAAATGTAACTTTTAAAGTAGTTCCTTTGCACTCCTAGTTTTGAAGTATAACTTCCAAGCTGCAAATTCTAACACTAAAAACGTAAGCTGTGTTTGGAGATCCCATTGGTCTATCCCTATAGTCTAATAGTAAATAAATCTTTCAAGGACTCAGAGAATTTACTTTTGTTATTATCATCTCTTTTCTCCTGAAGAAAATATAAGAAAAAGGTATTATCAGGAGAAGTTGCTGGATCTTTGTTGATTTCTGTAGAGCTTTAACCCATATAAATCTTTGTAAATTTGACCTGAGGGGTTTGGTTTGGTTTTTGGTGTTGGGTTTTTTCCCCCCATGTTGTGGTTTTGCCCCAGCCAGCAGCTAAGCCCTACGCAGCTGGGCACGTGGGGGAGAATGGAAAAAAAAACAACAACCCACAAAGCAACTCGTCAGTTGAAATAAAGACAATTTAATAGGCTAACAAAGGAAGAAAATAAAAATAAAAGTAACAACAACAACAATAATAATAAAATTAATTAGGCAGAAATGCAATTGATCACCACAACGGAAAGGAAAAAAAAAAACCCGATGCCCAGTCTGTTTCCAAGCAGCGAATCTGCCTCCTGGCTTGCTTCCCCAGTTCTGTCTGGAGCGTGACATTATATGGTGGGGAATATCCCTTTGGCCAGTCTGGGTCAGCTGTCCTGGCTGTGCTCTCCCAGCTTCTTGTGCACCTGGCAGGGCATGAGAAACTGAAAAGTCCTTGACTTAGTGTAGACACTACAACTACCTAGCAACAACGGAAAACGCTAAATCAAAAACACAGCACTGTACCAGCTACTAGAAAGAAAATTAACTCTATCTCAGCCAAAACCAGAACACCCCACAAAAAGTCTGAATAGGTTTTCTTTGCCATCATGGTTTCCCATCAGCATGGGTGCTACCCTGGACCTTTGCGCCTTTGCGGAATATCTGGAGTTTAAAAGGTGATATTTTTAGTTGCTAATTCAGAGTGTGATAGTTTTTCTGTTTGTTTCTTGTTTCCCCTTTTTCTCTTAGTATATGTCATCAGAGTTTCTGCCTGTGATAGTGGATGAATATCTAGGAAATACAGATGATCCTGCTGAGCTACGGGACCGATTTCTGGACTTGCTAGGGGATATAGGAATTGTCATGCCATCCATAAAAGCATTGAATTATCACAAGGGTGAGCTAATGAACACCAGTAGGATATTCAAACCTCTTACTACATGCTGGATCAAATGACGCAAATCCTGTTGTGTGTAGGCAGCCCTTCTTGAGATTCACACTGGGAATTTGTTGGGGGTGCAGAGAGATATAGGTCTGCAGGACTGTGTAAAGCAAGCGTAGGTAGTGTGTTATCTTTGTGCTAGTGTCTTGCACTTGTGCTCATAGTCACAATGTATTGAGAGCAGAGCATGATAACACAGGTAAATGTTTGCCAAGTGAAGTATACAAGCTTAAAAATTAAACCATATTAAAGCAACCTGGAATTTGTCCTTTGGCCCACCACTGCTTGGGAAGTCAGCAGCTCTGTAGTTTGGAGATTTTCTGATATTTAAGTGTAGACAAGCCATGCCAAAATACCCAGAACTGGAAAATAATTTGATGTTATTCTGGTTTCTGTATGTTTTCCTGGGGTGAATCTTTAATTTTTTTGTGTGAGTGCTGTGAGTTCTTAATTTTGAATTAAAATACATATTTGAATGTAACATTACATTAAAAATATGCCCAGAATAAAGCTTTGGTCAAGTAAGATTTTAAACAGCTGATGTCAGCCATAATTTATGCATCTCTTCTTTAACTCTCTAAATGTTACATCTTCTAGAGTCTGGAGCTCCTGTCTACTTCTTTGAATATCAGCATCGGCCCACTTCATATTGGGATAGTAAACCAGAGTATGTGAAAGCTGATCATGGAGATGAAGTTGGCTTTGTCTTTGGAGGACCGTATCTGGCTGGTGATATTCAGCTATGTAGTAAGGAATAGAACATTCAATATGCACTTATAAATTACTCTCATAACACTGGTATTATTCTATTCAGTAGTGTTACTTCCATTTTAACCAGACTAAAGGGCATATATTAACAGTGAGACCAAAGTGTAACCCTTTCTCCTGAATTTGTTTAACACTAATTTACTGTCTTCTCCATTCTTTATCATGTACAGATTGCTGTTTCTGAAGCACAGGAAGTTACACGTTGTCAATATTTTAGCAAACAGAACATTTGCTAGAAAACATCACTGGCATTATACCAGCACTGTTCATGAATTTTCCAAATAGCTTTGGCTGAAAAAGAAATTGAAGGAAAGGTCAATTAAACTTGCAGGGGATTAGCGTGGTAGTTGGGAAGCAGGAAACCTAGGCTTTCTTCTTTTCCTGAGGAATTTAAGCTAATGTTTCCTCCTTTCCAGGAAATCCCATGGGCTGTCCGGCTCCAGCAAATGGGGAACTCGGTCTCTTTTGCAGATAGTGTTGCAGTTGTGTTGATCAGAGCAAGGCTCAGAACTCCAGTGTTTCATTTTCTGCATGAAGATCTAATGGTTAGGTTGAAGACTATTTCCTTCAGGCAGAATCCCATGTTGCTACAGTCCAAATGAATGTGCCAGTCATTGAAGAGTCAGATACGAGTTGCCACATCCTCAACAATATTATGAATCCAGCAATTTTCTTTAATTGCATGACTAAAGCAATAATACTCAGGATGAAATATTTTCTTTCCCATGAAACAAATTAGGAGCAATTCTTACCTTAACAAAGAAACACAGAAATTCTACTTATTTAAGTGAATTCACCATTTTTATGTTTTTATTTTTGTCATTTACACAGTAGTTCATTGTCTGTTTCAAAGCCTACATAAATGAAAGTATTTCCTCTTACTCCATTGAACTTTGGAGCAATCCAGCTATGTCGTAAAAGCATTTGTTAATCTGTTACTAGAGCCTTTTGATTTTGCGTGTATTTTATATCTATTTTTTACTTATCCTACACTAGAAAACACTATACAAATCTTTTCTATTTGCCTGAATTTACTGAGAGCATTAAAATAGCAAATATTTTTCTTGATGTATTGAGATGCATTTATAGTTAATAACACACTGTAACTAAAATTATTTTCACCTACCTGATACAGTGGGCATATGTGTAACTATATTTAAATGAATGTTCTTGAGGCGTTGAGACATAGAATGACATTGTCTTGTATCAATATGAAGGAATCTTTGCCTAGTCATGCTCTGAATAATAGGGAGAATTTGAGTACCACAAAGGTAGAATGAGATCTATGAAACTAAAACATGTGGCCCATTCCTTGAGTTGTAATGGGACTCAGGAGACATGGGTTCTTTTTTTGGTTCTGCTTCTGGATTTCTGAAAAGCTACAGGCAAATTACCTTATTACCTTGTACCCCAATTCCCCGATTTGTAGAATAAGGAGAATTATGCTAATCTCATTCATAAAGAATGCTGAAATCTTGTCTTGATGATTGCTGTATTACTAACATATTGCAGGTATGGTGCCTCTGTTGTAATCAGTAAGTTGTTAAAACATATTCACAGACTGTACTACTGCTTTTGTAGTAGCAATGTTTTGATTTCTGCCACGTGTAATAATTATTTTGTATTTTGTCTCTCAGGTGAAGTTACAGAGGAAGAAAAGAACCTTAGTAGAACTCTAATGAAGTACTGGGCTAATTTTGCTCGAAATGGGTAAGAATCATGAAATTCATTACATAAATTACTGGTTTATACTGACTCCAAAGTGAATTAGCTATTTTGTTGATTCAATCTTAACTGCTTGCTTTCTTGTTGTTTACAGAAATCCCAATGGGGAAGGTTTGGTTGACTGGCCATCTTATAACCTAAATGAAGAATACTTGCAGATAAATCTAAAACAAAAAAAAGCCAGAAAGTTGAAAGAAAAGAAGGTAGACTTCTGGAGAAAGGTGATGTTTGAAAAGACAAATAACAAAAGAACAGAAAACAAGAAGGTTAATTCAGAGTTATAGTTTACAGTCTAAACATGCACATAATAGGCAAACTATTAGGATAGTAAAAGAAATTACTTTAAATAATTTTGAGGATAAAATTATGTTTCCCTTTTTTTCACCTTTTCTTCACAGTTGTTGTAGTTGCAATTATTCACTGTAATAATTCCAACTGATCTATTTCCCCTTTGTGATCCTTTACTTCTTCCTGGATTTGTGCCTTCAACAGAAGCCTCACTTATGAAATATAGGTACCAGATTTCCCTGCTGCTCAGGTTTTTCTGTCACTTCCCCATCACTGAAGACAGAATGTAGCAGCAACATGGTTTTAACAAAGTGAAATCAATAAAGACTTGATCTGCAAATAAAACTGTCTTTTGATGTCAAGTGTGTCAGTGATGGTACAGAAGGTTTGGTCTGATTTAGATACAGAAATGTCCTCTGTGGAAAAAAAACCAAAAACAACAAAGCAGAACATTTTTTAGTTTCTTTTTTAAGTCAGTTTTACAACAGTATGTTTCTGACTGTTGTGGTACATAATTGGTAACAGTAGTGCCGGAATTAAGACTTCTGTCAAATGTTAGAAAAGGGAGAAACAGTCTCCACTACCCACACTTTTTTCTTTTAAATTTAGCAATAACTCCCTTAGAAGGATCAACAATGGTAACATTAATTTCACACTTTCTGTCTTTTCCATGGTGCTTTACATTGTGCTCCAGGCTGTTCTCTGTGCCATCAGGCAGTTCCAGGTTCTCTGCACTGGGTCACAGGCCTTCGTGACTCGCACTGGGGGATTTGCTAGAGGGGTTTGTTTACCAGAATTATTCCAGTGCCCTTACCAGCTGATATGCATTTGGACTGCCAAGAACAAGTCTTGAACATCTCATTTCACTGTTATCAAGAACTTCTTTCTCTGCTATGTCTTGTTTGCTTCCTATATCTGCCTCTGAGGCTGCTCCAGCCATCCCAGCCATATTCCTGACCTTACTGCTACCAGCAGCATTATGCAGCTCCATAGATCGTATGGGGCAAATCTTTCCCTCTTCTTTCATCTCCCCTCTGTATCTCTGGAAGAATTTAAGACTGTTCATAGCTAATAATGTCCTACAGCAACTAACTGGCCATCCTTTCTTTCCTTATGGCTTTATTGGAAGAAATAGGGTGGGATTTCCTAGCTCTTTCTGCCCAAATTCTATTGCCAGTCAGAACTCGGGAGGTGGAGTTAAGACTGTTAGAACAACTGCTGTTTTGTAAGTGGGAAT